TGGCTGATTTGTCTTGGGGTTCTCTTTAAAAACCCCTGGTTCTGTGGATGACTTGGCTTCCACAAAGCTCTAGCTGACTCTAGATGTGTGATTTTTCTGCCCCCAGAACACTGCCATGTGTGGGTCTTCTGGGATGTTTTGTCTTGTAAGGAATGACTGACCGTAGCCTACCCCTCCGTGTTCCTTCACCTCCCTTTGGAGTCATGAGATAAAGTGACACGGGGGAAATGCTCAGAGAAGACATTCATCCTTTGCATTTTTCCTTTCAAGGTATTTTTGAATGACAGTGTTAAAGCACCTATAACACTGCTGTGAACTGTTAACAAGCACATTTGCACATCACATCTATCATGCTGTTTGCACGATGTTATGTGAAGAAACAGCTCAAAGTATTTTTAAGATACAGCCTTTTATCTTCGGAAGCACCAGAAACTATTTGCAGATTGGTCTTGGGAATCAAATTAGCCTAACACATCGGTGAGTTCCTGGAGGTGTGGGCATTTCTGTAAGTGGTTCCTGGCCCCTTAAGCCTTCTGATCATTTGCACTGTGTATTTTTATACAGGCTCTTGTACTTTGGAGAAATAAAATAAAGAAACTTAAAGGTGAGTTTGACAAGGGCTTCTCCACACTGTTTGTCAATGCAGATGGATCCTGAATTTTAATGGTAGTAGTTTCTTTTAAACAACCAAACCTCTTTAAACCTCTCCACAAATAATGTCAGTGCGCAGATTATGTCTAAAAGTGTGTGCTGGTGAGTGGAAATCTTTCCTGACCCCATACTGCAACCATGAAGGAAGAGCCTAATCCTGGAAAACAGTCTTGACAGCCTGGATGTCAGTTACCTCCATCTCATCTGGGCCACTGCCTGCGTGACATTTTGCTGTCACTCGATGACTTCGGGTGTCTACATTCAGGAGCCCAGCTTGGGGTCATAGAACGAGCCAGACCTTGCACCTCCAGTTGAAACCTGGTCGGCTGCCGTTTACCGGCTGTGGGATGTTATGTGAAAAAACTTGTAGAGAGGCCTTGGTTTCCTCACCTGTAAAATGGGGATGGCATCCCTGTTGTAAAATTGTTGTGAGCAACATCTGTGTGCCCATGTTCATAGCAGCTTTATTCACAATAGCCAAAAGGTGGAAGCAGCCCAAGTGTCCATTGACAGATAAATGGATAAACCAAATGGGGCACATACAAACAATGGAATGTGATTCAGCCTTAAAAAAGAAGGAAATTCTGACACGTGCTTCATCGTGGGTGAATCTTGAGGACATTCTGCTGATGAAATGAGCCAGCCACAACAGGACAAATACAATATGATTCCACTGACATGAGGTGCCTAGAGGAGTCAAATTCACAGAGACAGAAGGAGAATGGCAGTCACCTGGGGCTGGGGGAAGGTAAAATCGGGGAGGTAGTGTTTAGCGGATATGAAGTTTCGATTTTGCAAGATTAAAAAAAGTTCTGGAGGTGGATGATGGTGATGGTAGCACAATGATGTGACTGTACTTAACGCCACTGAATTGTACACTTAAAAATAGTTAAGCTGTTAAGTTTTATGTTGTGTGTATTTTACCTCAGTAGAGAAAAATTGGAAAAAAGAATTATGAGCATTGAAGAACACCCAGTAGGTAAAGTGCCTGCCATATTATCAGTGTTCAGTAACTAGTAGCAGCTTTTACTAGGGTTTGGGATTATAACTAATAGTTGCGTGATATCTCATCATGTGGCTGTACCATAATTTGTTTCTTTTTTGTTTGACTTTTGGATTTCTTATAGTACTCCACCATTGTAGCAATGATGGAATGAATTTTCGTATTTGTGTATGTCTTTTCTATTATTTGGGGTTTATATCTTTGAGGTTGATTTCCTGGGTCACTTAATCAAGGTGAATTAATCTTAGTCTTTGGGGCTCTTGCTTCTTATGCCCATGGGGTTTCAGAAGGGTGCTGTCATTTTCAGTGTCACCACCAAAGTAAGGGCGCCAGCCTCACAGTGTCCTCATTGGCACTAGGCACAATTTTAAGCAGTTTTGCAAAATGAAATGAGTAAGAGATGGTGTTTTAATGTTTAATATACATTTGTTTGCTTTTATTTGATCACTGGAAATGTTGAGAACTTTTCATGCCTGGATCTACATTTATTTTTTCCCATGTGTATTGCCTGTTTACATCTTTTGCCTATATTTCTAGTGTGGTTTCAATGCTTTTCTTATCAAATTTTTTTTGTCATGTTTGTAACACGTTGCCATTTTTAATATTCAGACAATCTTACTAGTTATGTAGTTAAATCATTCATTTAAACATTTCAAAACACAATTATAAGATTTTAAAGTAGATCAAAAATGGTTTTGCAATAACATGGTTATTATACTTAATGAATCTTCTTCCCATAATTCCCTTATCATTCTTTTAATACCTATTAGCATAAAATCTGTTTAGATGTTAACTTACATGACTATAGTATTTGAATTAAAATTCTGTAGGCTGACCAATTAAGAATAAAACATTAATAACCCAATATAAAGAAGACATAACAAAAATTAGAGGAGATAAAAAATTAAAATTATTAATAAGCATGACATTTTTTACCTCACTAATAATTAAATTCATTAAAAATAAAATGATAGGATATTACCTTCCATCTATAAATTTGGTAGGGATTAACAACATTGTGATGGTGACTGAGGCTGACCCTCAGATATGCTGCCAATGGGGAGAGAAAATTGGGTCAACTTTAATGAATAGCAGTTTAGCACAAGGTATCAAGTATCTTTAAAATGTTCATAAACATTGATTTAGAAAATTCCCATATATAACTAAGGCTAGAGGCAGCCTCAAAAATGTAGAAAAAATATTTATATTCATAGATAAAAATAGGATTCAATACAAATGCCCAATGACAGGGAATGATTGAATAAGTAATAGTATGGCCATCTTTGGAGTGTTATATAGTCATTATAAATGGTATTTCCTAAAAATTTCAGTGATATGGGAAAACACTCACGATATGCTGGTAAGTGGCAAAAGCATGATGCAGTGATTACAGTAAAACAAACTGTGTCACGGTGCGAGTTTGTGTGTGTTTTGTGTATGCATGTATCGCGTACATACCTAGAAAGAAGTGCGTAAAAAGTATTGATAGTACTTATGTGGTAAGAGTATGGGTGATTTTTATTTTCTTTTCTATATTTCTGCACATTTTTTAAGCTTCATATTGTTTGCAAATCATCGTTTCTACAATCAGAAATTTTAACTGCTAAGGAAGACTAAAGATAATAAGTAGATCTCTCTCCTTTTCTGGATTCATGTTCCCTTTGCTCTCTTCGCTTTGTTATATTGGACAGAACCCTGGACAAGAAGTCAGAAGGTGTTTTTTCAGGTTATGGTCCAGAAATTTGCTAGCTATATGACCTTGGGAAAATCTAACTCATATGTACCTGTTTGCCAGTTTGTAAAATGGGGATTTCTACCTTCCCTGCGTGTACAGTTGGAGGGTTTAAGAATTAAGGTGAGATTACCAGCATAGGGGAAAACACTTCTGCAAACTAAGATGCAAGTTCAAAGGATTCCCCAAACCACTGGGAGGTCTGATAATTTGTTAGAAGGACTCACGCAAGTCCAGAGCTGTTATCCTCACAGTTATAGCTGATTACATGAAAAGGATACAGATCAAAATCAGCTAAAGGAAGAGTCACATAGGCGGAGTCTGGAAGGGTTCCAGTGCAAAGCCTCTGTGTCATCCCCCATGCAGTCAGGATATGTTACCCTCCTGGCCTCCATGTGTGACAATATGCAGAGTATTGCCAACCAGGAAGCTCTCCCAAGCTTTGGTGTCCAGAAGTTTTAATTGGGACTTCGTTACATAGGTATGATTGATTGATTGCCCACATGGTTGAACTCAGGCTCTCGGTCAACCGATACTGTGTTACCCAAAGCCGCCACCCTCAGTCACATGGTTGGTCTTTCCGACATGGCAGCCTCTACCCTAGGACTGTTGGCAGCCCTACCCTGAGATTCAGTGTGGCTAGCCCCACCCTAAGAGTATAGGTGTGGCCTCTCTAAATGAGGACACTCCTATCGGGTATGACCTAGATTACCTACCAGAGCCAAGGCAGAGGCCAGCTACCTGTTTGGGCAAGGCTAAATTCTTTACTACACACAAGGTGACGGAAAGAGATGGAGAACAAATTTAAACATAGAGATGATGTTAGTATGGAGGGGTCTATTATTTACCATATGTTCTAACATTGTAAAATAAGAGAGGGCATGAATTCCACAGGTGCAAGTGGTACTGCAAGTACCCGCTTCCCTGATCCTTAGAACCTTGGGGACCACCTTTGAGAAGGGAGTGTGCTAACAGTGGGGGCTGCAGAGAGGCTTTTGCTACAGTAGTTGTTTACCACAGAGACGAATTAGGCTGAGAAAACACTTACCGTCCTGCTGGGTATATGAATCTGACCCTCGCCTCAGTGTTAACAGCACAGCAAATATGTCTCTCTGTTAACGAATATATCTAATGTGAACGAGTTATAAGCCTGTTTTTTTTCTTGGGTTTCTCTACCTGGCACCATCTCCCTCTGTAGTGCAGCTGAGCTTACTATGTACAGAGAAGGGGGGGATGATAAAAATAAATTGGCTCGTTCCCCTTGCAGAGTTTCAAATCTCTAGCACCATGTCAGGTAGGATCCATAAGGTTTCATAAGAGTGAGATTAGAAAAATGAAAACCTGAGTTTATTTTCTCATGGAATTAAAACAAAATTAGAACACAATGAAGAGGAATCATCATCCTCAGGAAACTTGCTCGAGGACAACCGTGTGCTTTTATGGAAAAAGAACCAGCGACAGAGACTTATGAAAGCATTAAAGCACGATTGTGCTCCCACCCTGCCTTCAGAGGGAAGAATTTCAGCCTTTGTCTAGTGGTTTTTTGGAAACAAATAACTTGTCATAAATTGATGTTGTCAGTAAATTTGGGTTGTACGTTCTGTTTCTTTCAAGGAAGAACTGGCCACGCAGAAGTAGTCCGAGTGGTATACCAGCCAGAACGCATCAGCTTTGAGGAGCTGCTCAAGGTCTTCTGGGAGAATCACGACCCGACCCAAGGTAGATGAGTGAGCCAGTATTTAATTATCTTACTAATTACAGCTGGGATAATTAGTGTTTGAACTGCATGGAAGAGATGAACCTTGAAATCACACAGGAGCTCAAGAATATGATTGCAGACATTTATTGACGGAGACGGGGAGGGGCTGGGGAGAAAGAGGGCGAGAGAATAAAGGCACAGCCACTGTCTGCGCCCCTCCCCCCTTTACAGCTGTCAGGGGTGGGAAAATTCCCACAGAGAAAGACACCAGACAATAGAGATTCGTTCACCTTTGATTATTGCATTATTCCTCCTTAATGCAGTCTTTTGTCTACAAAATTAAAGTGTCTTTCTAGCGGCTCCAAAGTTTTCCTGATTTATGGTTCCTTTATTTCCCTGAATTTATTTAGCCTTTCTCATCTTTTGACATTATCAGCCATTATTTTTCCTTTTAAATGTCTGTGGGTGATTTAAAAAAAAAAGAACATAAAGGTAAAATGCAGTATTCAATGGTTCTACAATGCTTGGGTTATTTAAATATTTCATTTGTCTTCTTTGGAATTTATTATATGAGATATTAATATATTCGGGCTGTAAACAATGGTGGTCAGGAATTTTATTTGAATGCACACACAAGCAAAAATCTCATGTTGGCAAATATCATTGTAATATTCAGTAATGGAGTAATCTCCGGATTTCATCTTAACAGCCTTACAAGCACTGCTTTGCCAGTGTGATGATCTGATATTATGAGGCTTATGGACTGAAAAGTCCTGTATATCCGATGTGATTTTCATTTAGCAATCGGTCTATTTAACGGAAATATTTTCCCGTTGGTGTCAGATTTGGGGGGAGTGGGTACGCCATGTTGGCTATTTCCTGATGAATGGATGTGTTTTTCCAAATGTGCATTGTGCTTTGGGGTGGGACCTTACCAAGACCCCAGCAGCATAGGTTGGTGAGTCCTGAGTTCTGGTTCCACTTAATGCCAGGGTGGTTTGCTAGAGGGCAAAGGTCAGAGCTAAGGCAAGAACAGCAAAATGATCAACAAGCCAGGGTCAGGCAGGTCCAGGATCCAGGTACATCCAGCAGGGTGGGTAAAGGCCGGGAAGGAGGCCAGGAGCAGGCTCTCCGTGACAGTGAAGTCTGGCTGACATGGGGAGATGAGTCCCTGGTGGGAGAGCAGTGAGGTATGGGGCAGGGGAGGTACAGAACTGGTAGGGCAAGAGTACTATCATCGGAAGGTTCTGATGCCACCCCCGTTTGGACTACTGGACTGTCACATCATGTGAGAACGGCAAGCCTAATGGCTTAGACACGCATGGCTCAAAGGGAAACTGACTGGTGAGCATCATAAGTAAGGGTCGTGACAGCCAGGAACTCATGCTGGGAAGCCTCTGGTCCAGATGGAGCAGCCATTCAGCCTCTTGGCTCTCAAAGCTGAGGGTCAGGCAGGATGCTGAGGGCTCCAAAGTTCTAAGTGGAGACACCTATCAGGAGCCCAGGCAAGCCTGAAGTCATGGAGGAGACAGGCTCCCCGCAGGCCCACAAGGCTGGGTATGTGGCCTTGGCCTGGCCACCCGTAATGCCGTGTCCTGATACAACCACCTTATGCTTGACCCCCGCAAAATTTCAAAGAGGGTGAAGTCTGTCATCCACTTCTCTCTCCTTACTTCTCTTAATATCTTACCCACTTTATCACATCTTTACTAGCACACCTCAGTTATTAGGTCACTAGTTCTGGCCCCTGAATCTCAGGGGAATTCCACCTTCAAAAGAACTTTAGGAGAACCTCTTGTTCTCCCCATCCCATGGATCAGATTTGTCTCAACTTTGCCTCAGTCCTCTTTGAAATTCTTGGTTTACTATCTGTGTTAATTTGCTAAGGCTGCCATCATAAAGTATCACAGACTGGGTGGCTTAAACAAGAGAAATTAATTTTCTCACAGTCCTGGAGGCTGGGAGTCTGAGTTGAAGGCATTGGCAGGGTTGGTTTCATCTTGGCTTGTCGATGGCTGTCTTTTCCTCATACAGTCTTCCCTCTGTGTGTGTCTGTGTCCTGATCTCCTCTTTGTATAAGAACACCAGTCAAATTGGATTAGGGCCCACCCAAATTACTTCATTTAATCTTAATCTTTAAAGTCTCTATCTCCAAATGAAGTTACACTCTGAAGTATTGGAGGTTAGGGCTTCAACATGTGAAGTGTGGGGAGGGGTGGGACACACTTTAGCCCATAACACTGTCCAATAATGTAACTGGTTGATGTGCTGTTCTTCCAGAGGTATTTTTTTTTTCCTAACAAGGTGTTCACAGGCTCATAGACTGGAAGAGACTTTAGACGTCATCTGGTTCAATTCTATGAGTCAGAAGATGAAGTTGGTAATGATGGAATGATGGGGGTCACAGACAATGGGACTGGAATGTCGAGTGACCTGTTTTTTACATGGATATTTTGGACAGATTATACATGTAGGAGGAGAGTTTTTCTACCCTTGTGTATATTTGTTTCTGCTTAGAGCAGTGCTTCATGTAATATATACAGTCACACATATTAAATCACAAGATATCTGATCTTCCCGCATTATTATTAGAATTACCTTTTTAGATAGTTCAGTGTAATGGGCCATGGTAACAATCTTTTTCTGCCTTGTAGGGTTTCCTAGGACCCTTCTGGAAATAGGGCCAATGGAGTGATCATATGATCCAGTCCTGATCAATCAGTATCTTTTCCTGTTGTCAACAATGTTTGATCCAAAGAACAGGCATGTGACCCAAGCAGAACCAGCTAGAGTCCTTCCCTGGGACTGTCGTATGTTCTCAGTTTGTTGCAGCTGCCGGGGTGGGTGCTCTGTATGGGGAATGACGTGCCCACCAGAGACGCGAGGGAGGAAGATGAGCAGAGACGCTGAGAGATGAGAGATGGGAGGAGAAAACCCTCAGGAGGCTCTGAGGCCCTGAGGCTCCTCATTCCTGCAGCTCTTCCTTCAATTCTGAGAGCTCTCCTGTGAGCTCTTCAAGCTAGGAGAGCTACTAGGTATTCCCTTCCTTTTTATAACTTGAGCTAGTTTGTTGGCTTTCTATTACTTCCAACAACAACAAAAACCCTAACTAATCCACTTAACTCAATTTAAACAATGAGCATTATGCTCGATCATTATATTCAGTAACTGTTAGTTAACCGTGTTCATCTGGCTCCATAAATCAGAGGTCTAAAGCCACTTGAATGGTTTTAACATTGACTCAGACACCGAGGGGCAGACACTAGAAATTGTTTCTTCAAGACCTGTTGGAGGTTCCTTGCTAATTCAGAATTAGGATTTAGGATTTGGGACATATGGCCTGAGAACGTATCAGATGCCTTTTCAATATTTCTGAAGTATTGTGAAAGACAAGCATTCATTAATGACATTTATTTTTGCCAGGTATTCTGCTAAGTGGTGCTAGATCACTAAGTGGTCTGGAATAAGCAGCAGTAACATTTTGGTTAACACACAGGGAAGATACATTTCTATAGGAAGAAAATAGTTAAATCCCAATAAACTGAGATCAAATGAGCATTCACATAAATGTGTATAAGATCACAGATGAAAATGTTAACCTGAAATAATTAAAACAAGTATTGTAACCCTGGGAGATTAAAAGCAAAAATGTAAGTTCATAAGAAGTCTGGTATCAATGGATTTAATATTTCCAGGGAACTCTGAAGGTCTAAAACGTGTAATCATGTAATTTTTCTGAGGTAAGAATTTGAGGTCCACTTGCTAAAGGATGGGCATGCGGCAGGAGGTAGCTGAGCTGCAGGTGAACTTGGCCATCTGAACACAACTTCTTAATTCTCTACCTGAAGTCACATGATGACTCTTATCACATTTCACAGTGAAAAGTGGCCCAGAAAAGAAAAGCACCCAGTAGGGCAGGTGGGGGAAGTAGAGGCGTGTAAGACTGATTACTCTTACTCAGAAGATGGACGTTTGTAAGGACAGAAGCATGTTGGCTTTGGTGGAGACTCTGGTCTGTGAAGCAGTAGTCCATTGTAGGTTCTTTTCAGAAACAAGAGTGAGTGATTCCTCCACCCGCTTGAAGAATGCTCTTACCTGTACCAGAATTACTTATCAACAAAAAGACAAAACTTAAGGAAAAGTTGAGATGACATTGATCTTTGATGTGGTGATAGGCCCACCCCGGACACGCAAGATTCTCAACAGCAATAGGCCTCAAGAGAAATGTATTTTAATTAGCATGTTGAAAGGCTTTACTGCCTTGTTTATAAAGTTATGAAGGATTTGCAGGGGCCACTAAAAATCTTTAGTTATAATTTACCTCACTTTGTGGGAGAAGCAATATCCTTGAGTGGTATTAGCAAATGTGGGGTTCTTGCTAATGACAAGGGTCTAATATAGTAGAAACAGCAAGAATTTAAGCTTAAGTTCCCTTTCAATTAAATCAGATCTTCACGGTATAGACCAGACAGAGAAAATCCTGCACGTTCTTCCCTGCTTCAGGCTACTAAAGCAGCTCTCACAGTATCTGTCCCAGTGGAAAGGAGGAAATCCCCATGGTCCACCAGTTTGAAGGGAGCAGAGCTGGTAAGAGCTATCAGAAAGTGTGGGCTTTTAAAGTGACAGGGGGCCCAAGACCCGTTATTCCACAGCCAACAGGCAGTGAGTCCTGAGAGAGTACTGCTCCGTGGATTCGCTTCAGGTGAAGTTTACAGATGACTGGCCAGTAAACGGAATAGTCTTTTCTCTGAATTTACCACGAAACCTCTGCTTTTGCCGAAGCATTCAGATACCACTGTTTAAGCTAGTGCGTCCTCTTCTGGCTTTGTCTTACTCACGGGACAAATACAGTTCCTCCAGCCGCCTAAGGATAGCGTGCCCCTTCCTGGCCGTGTGGTCCCCAAACTCACCCGGTCTCCAGACAGCATGGCAGAGCCCGACATTTAGATTTGGGTTCTGGCTCCAGAAGGACCTCTTCCCAACCTCACGACCTTGACCAAGATACTTACTCAGTCTGGAA